GGAGCCCAGTGACCTTGGGTCTGATTGCCAGTGGCCAAAACGGAGCTGGGCCAGCACCCTCAGCCATCTCCCACCACGCTGGGAGCTGTGCTGTGCACAGAGGCTGCCACCAGCACAGCCCCCTGTGCCGGGGGAGCAGTGTGGGACTGGATCAGGTGACACCCAGGTGCGGGGCTGGCAAAGGGAAGGAGACACGGGATCCTGCTGCTGGATGGCTACTGGGAGGGGAGGAATTGGTGCTGGGACCCAGGGAGAGGGTCCCACCTTCTTGGGGGAGGCATGGCCGGTTCCTGCTCTCAGCACATGCTGTTTCATCGCAGGGCAGGCTGCGGGGACTGGGATTCCCAGCAGGTGCAGGCAGGATGTGGGTGGAAACACCTGGAAGAGCTGGCAGAGACCAGAGGGTCTGTGCAACAGCAGCGGGAGCAGTGCCACCCCACCGCAGTCGCATGGAGTGGCCCATTCCCGGCAGCTCCCCAGCCGAAGACTTTCGGTGTGGGGCAACTGCTGAAAGCTACACCCCAGCAGTAGGTGCAGCTTCCCTGTGTAGGAAGGAGCTGCTTCCCCCAACGTCAGGGACAACCTACAGGCAGGCAGCACTGCCGGGCACCGATTTGCATCCACGCGAGCACTTCCCAGGTGCCAGCACCCCCGGCTCTTTCCCACGCCGTCGCTGTTTCCTCCTCGCTGCCGTAGCATAGCAGCGCTGCCTTCTCCTCCTGGGTGCCAGGGAGCCAGTGAGGCTCTGCAGGGCTGTTACGTGCTGCCTGCCCTGCCATGCGTACAGCAACACCCGTGAGCTCAAACAACTCAGTCCCAGCGCTCAGGACTTACCCACAGAGCCAGCCCTGCTCACGTCTACTCTTCCAAGAGCTTCCCCCTGCACCCCTCCGTCCCAGTCGCTCTCCCGGCTCCCCACGCCAAGCCCCGGAGGGCAGCACACGACTGCGCTCCTGGCTTCCGCTTCTCCTTTTTCCTCTAAAATCCGCTCAAATATGCTGCAAGATCCAACCTGCCAGAGACCCTTCCCTGCCGCCCACTCACCTGATGTCAAACCGCAGCAGCAAGGCAATGAAGATCCCTGCGGGGAGAAGGGGACAGTGAGGGGACAGAGGTGGCAGGGCAGGACCCGCAGCGGCTCCGGGTGCCGTGCCTGGGCTGACAGTGCCCTCTCGTGGCACAAGGCACCGGGACAGCACCTGGACCTGGTGGGAGACCCCCAGCCGACGCAGCCCCCAGCCCCGGCGGGAGGCCCGCAGGGCTCTGTCATGGCCAAAGGTAGAGCGAGGCAGCCGCTCAGCTCCCCGCAGCCCGTTCAGACAGGCGACTCCGGTCATGTCCCCCATCTTCCGCCCTTACCTGGAATGACAATGTCTCCCAGACCCAGCATGGCAAAGTTGTCAGCCTCCAGCCCCTTCTCCAGCAGGTCCTGAGGGAAAACCACTACGAGGAGAGAGGAACAGTGAGGGGGGAGTGTCTGTGCTGAGCAGACCTCAGCACTGCTGTGCCTGGCAAAAAGGGACTGGAGCAGGGCAAGACGCCTGTCCCTGCCATCTGCCCCCTCCTCTCCTGTAGCTCTCCCCTTCTCCTTCCTGGGACAACTCTGGGATAGGAAATCGAGGGGTTTGGGGACAGCCCCATGTGGTTCCAGGCGCAGGTGCCAGGACCTAAACCACTGCACGTTCCACAACAGCAGACATTCACCCCTCCTGCTGGTCTTTTGGAGGGTTTTTTGTTTGTTTGTTTTGGGTTTTTTTGTTGTTGTTTGTTTTTTTTTTACTGAGCAGGTAATTGCCTGCTCTGGGGGTGCAGCTCAGGGCTCTGCAGAGAGACCTGGCCCAGCTCTCCGCAGGTTGGTGGCACCACGCAGCAGTCTAAGGGGTCACTAGCAGGTGACCTAGGTCACTAGCAGGTCACTGTGCACCTTCCTGCACACATCCCACCTTCGGAGCCATCTCCAGAAGGCAGAGGGTGCACGGGGCAGCGACACGAGGAAGGTCTACTCACGTTTTATCGGGGCCTCAAACGATTTGGCAACTGTCACCATCACATTGGTGCCAAAGACCTAGGGGCAAACAGAGTCCAGGGTGACCACAGCTGCACAGGGACACACGCACGCTCAGCTACAGCCTCACCTCAGGGCCCGGAGCAGCCTTAGTGGCAGAAAATAGCCAAAGAGCTGCCGAGCTGCAGGCAGAGGAGTCCTGCAAGTGAGCCCACCACCCAAGGGAGAAGGCACAGGACAGTGGTCGAGGAGGTGAGCATGTCACGGCCGTCCTGCTTTCAGAGCAGCACTGGGGAGACCGCTCACGTCACACAGCCATGGTGCTGCCCACCAGCTGCTTTCCCCAGCACCTACCCCTGCGGGTCGGTTCAGCTCTTAACTAGTCAACGCAGTGGAAAGCCTGACCACCGCACAGGATGTTTTCTGAGGGCAGGAGCTCCCAGCAGAGAGCCCCAGGCAGCTGCCCGTGAGCTTCCAACGGGGACCCGAGCAATTATCAGATCAGCTGGATTTTGCTCCGAGGTCATTTATATGTACTGCACTATCAGCTTTACACACTGGCATTGTTTGGCGAACGGGCTGTAAACACATGGGTCAAACACCCTCATTTCTGTTCCTTTTCGTCTCCAAGCCTCCAGTCTCAGCTATACCAGCAGCAGGCACAAAAACCAGGTGCTAGTTAGCACTGAGTGAGCCAGCTCCTAGCACTAGGGATTAAAGAGAAACCTTAAAGCAACCACTGGGCGTCAGATCAACTCCCTTAAAGTGCAGCAAGCTCTGGGCATTGCCACGGAGTGAAAGGACTCCACACTGGGACCAGAGAAAAGTGTCACATGCAAATTCACCCCAAGATTATCCAGGGGACAATATCATCGATCCACTGAGCAGTTCTCCTTCCTCCTTGAAACCCTCCCTGGATCTCACTATGATTAAATCCATGCTGAGATCCAAGCGGTCCCTGCAGAGGGGCACAGTAAGAGGGTCTCCGCTTCACGACAGCCCTTCCATGAGACTCTGGCGATCCACTGACCTGCCGCAGAAGCTGAGGTGGGAGACAGCCAGCAAGTGGAGAGCAGCAAGGGTTGCACTCTCGCTGTCTCCAAAGCACCAGGAAGACACTCGCACCCCAAGAAGGGTGTGAGGCACTGGGTGTGCTAAGCCAGAAGGCTGAATCCTCTCCAGCTGAGAGCAGTGGAGGAAGTGGCACACAGGCTAATGAACCACAGAGCTGAGACTGTTAATTAGCCTATGAAAGAGGGGCAGCACCAGCCAAGTACAAAATAACACGCAGTAGCCAGGCTTAAATAGGGAAGGATTACTCAGGCAGCTGCAGAGCTGCTGGACAGACCTCAAGGTATACAAGGCTCTCAGACATTTGGAAACACAGTAATTCAGAGGGTGGAGGCAGCAGGAAGGACTGGGGAATACAGATGTTACAAGGAGAAATGGGGATCCAGGACCATTGCAGAGTGATAAGGAAAACCTCAAAATGAAGATGTCAGGGTGCTGCACTGGGAGAGAGAGAGACTGGAGCCATTCCAGTACGTGGTCCTCGGTGCAACAGAAGGATGCTAACGAAGCCGGCAGATGACAGAGTCGAGGCACAGCCCATGCAAGCAGGATCAACATACCCAGACCAGCCTCGTCCTCCAGCCCACCCAGCAGTAATGTCAGGCATTGGGAAGACCTCAGCTGGCAATACAGGTCACCAGAACTGGATATACCACACACCCGAGCACCCCACAACAGCCCTGATGAGATCCCTGCCAGTCCTGGGCTCTCTAAGCCAGAGATGAAAAGAAAGTGCATTTGCTGAGCCACGTTCTGCCACTGTTTGATTTTATCATCATTCCCACCACACCCCTTTGGGCTGAGAAAGTGGAAATCCTGACTGCAAACGTGTGTGCAGCCAGCGTGCTGCCTCCAAAGAGGCATAACGCCACGCACATGCCTTCCGCCAACGGCTGCAACTCGCGTCCGCCCCGGCGAACGCTCCCGTTTACCCAGAAGACGTCGTAGATGAAGAGGCCCCCAAGCAAGATGCAGCCAGTGCTGACATTGTTCAAGTGCAGCAGCTCCACCCCGTTGAGGGAGAACGCCAGCCCAAAGAGATTGTTGGCAATCCAGTGCTGAGAACGACAGGAAAAGGAGATTTGGGTCCCGCTGCACGTTACGAGCCACAGCCTCAGCCTGCAGAGGCCTTGCATGGAAAGGGACCCGGGTCCCTGGCCTCGCTGCAACAGGGCTGCGGCTCGCTTACCTTTCTCAGCAGGTACCAGACCCCCACAACACTGCTCAGGGCCAGGCATACGAGATCCTTGGTGTCAAACTCGTAATTCACTATTTCTGCAACAAAACAGAGAATTCAGATTTTGGGCAGCTCTCCTTCCCACACAGGGCAGAGACAACCGACTTTACAGCTTGGGAGCAACAGAGACCACAGTGCTCATGTCCCAAATGAGGGGACCCACGGAAAACACGTGCAAACTGCATGCAAGTGAGCGGCCGGCTCTGGCAAGCCTGGACCTTCTCCTTCAGCCAGACTCTGCCACACAGACAGCATCTGTGATCCTTCTGTCAATAAGGAAATTGGATTCAGGCAGTGTCTAATGCAGGGAGAGGCAAATCTTCTCCCTGTTCTTGCGCCAGTTAACTCCCGGTGATATCACTAGAAGAACTAGTCCCTTGCCAGTAAAGCTACTGGGCAGGATACTTATCAAAGGAACTTCTACCAGTGCAAAGATTCGAATCAGATCAGTTAAGGCAGCACAAAAAAGTCAGTACTATGCTACCCAAGGAGCTTAAATAAAGGCAGTGCATCTAACAGCAGCCATAGCTCCATTCCTATGGCACTCTGGGATCTGTTTCTGGGGTTTCACTGCCAGCCAGCGGCAGCACAGCGGGAAAGTGCCAGCTGGTGCAAGAAGACGCACACGGCAGCCCCGGTTCTGCGGGGACACACGGGGCTCACACTGGCAACAGAAGCACAGCAGGGAGCAAGAGGCAAGTCTTTGAGAAGGTTGTTTCAACAGCCTTTCAACAGCAAAACACAAAGTGAGCAAAAACCAGAACACTAAAGGCAGAAAACATTCAGGCCCCCAGAAAGACCAGCGAGCCGACATACCCTCCTTGCTCTCCCCGGAGCCCTGGGTGAAGAGGAGCTGGTACTGTTTGTTGGGGAAATTTGCAGGAAAGAATCTGTTCATCATGGGGCTGAAACGAGAGGTGCAGAGAAGGGCAGTTCGACAGAAACCCCACAGAACACACTGCCCAGCACCTCTGTGTGACAGTGTCACAGCATGGACGTTGGCCCACACCCCCTCCAGAGACAGGGGAACACCAGGTTTCACCACATCAGGGACTGGCAGGAGCCCCAGC